TAAGCGTGCCGAGGCCCATTTGTGGTGTGAGTGCGGGCCGTCGGGGGAGACGGGAGGGGGGACAAGCGTGCTTTGGCCCGGTTCGAGGCAACTGTACCTAGTGTGAGTACGGCCTTAGTCTCTCTGTGTGGTTATTACAAACTCCGCCGTCCACTTAAGATGAGAATCACAGAAATTCTGCACATACGAATGGATACATTATATTTGAATTGGTCAGGCAGTGTATTTATTCACATAATCACTCACTTTTCTGACTGTAAAAAATGCACAGTAAGTTAATGTTTTGATTTCAAAGACATACAAATATGTCTTGTTTACATGCAACACATATTTCAAAATTTATCAAAAATGGTTTATATATAAATATGACGACATATAGCCTATATTTATGACCTCCAAGCAACATTTTCCGATTTTGATGACTACTATTTGTTATTACTACAGCAGTTTTTACTTAAGGAACAGTGGCCTACCATTTGTAATTAACTTAAACGGCTCATTTTAAATGTTAAATTATTATTTATTTATTTATTTATTTATTTATTTTGAGCCTATGAGCACAGTGGTAATGTTCAGACTATTCATAATGTTTAAAGTGGGTGACAATAATACATTTTCTTAATTCATCTGCTTCATCATTATGGTGGTACATGGAGAGACATTTTTTTCCTGAGGTGGTACTTCATGAAAAAAGTTTGAGAACGACTGCTTTAGGTGAATTGGATAAACTAAATTGGCTGTAGACTGTATGTGTGTGCATAAGTGTGTATGGGTGTTTCCCAGTACTGGGTTGTGGCTGGAAGGGCATCTGTTGTGTATATGCTGGAATAATAGGCAGGTCATTTCGCTGTGGCGACCTCTGAAATAGAGACCTAGCTGAAGGAAAACAAATGAATGAATATATTATTACTCTATATTGCACTGATAGAAAACCCATGTCTCTTAACGAAAGATCCTAGTGATGACATTTAGATGGATGTATGTTTGTAAGATACATAAGAGACGTATGTAGATGTGTGTGCGTGTGTTGGGGCCTAAACACACTATGCCATCCGAATCTTGCACCATTTCCCAATTTCTCAAAATTTCAAATTGTTGCAGTTTATTAAAGACGCAAACCCCTCACTGCACGACAGCTGCACCTTTAGCAAACCTCCTAATTCCTGCAGCACGAGGACTTTATGATTGTTTATGAGCGTCAAAAGTGGCTGATCTGTTCAGCAAAATATTTGACTGTGTGTCACCGCATCCTAAATGATTAAAACAATATAACTAAAGAAATCCCCTCTGTGCTGAGCGAGAGCGATTTCTGAACAGCGCAGCATCGATGACGCAAGCGTGCCCAGGCCCAAATGTAATGTGAGTGCAGGTCGTCAGGGGAGACAGGAAGGGGGACAAGCGTGCTTTGGCCCAGTTCAAGGCAACTGTACATAGTGTGAGTACACCCTTAGTTGAAGTTAGGAGTTAAGAAGTGGAGTAGCTAGTTATGGTCCAATTTACTAAACAGTTGTTTAAAGGGATAGTTCACCCAAAAATGAAAACGAGCCCCCCTTAATGGTTGCATACCTTTGAGTTTTTTTTTCTGTCGAACACAAAAGAAGATATTTGAAAAACCCTGTAACCATTGACTTCCATAGATAAAACAGATAAGTCAGTGGTCACAGGTTTCCAACATTTTTTAAACAACTTTTTTTGAGTAAAATATTGTGACAAGTGAAGTATGGGTGAATGATGACAGAATTTCAGTTTTGGGTGAACTGTTAAAAACATCAGTTAATAACATGATGTTTGCCTGTTTTCTGTTAGGAGTCAACAGCCAATTTTCCTTTCCCTCCTCCTCCTCCCCGGTCCATCTTAAAGACTGAACAGCCCCAATTCAATCCCTTTTCTAAGAGGGCTGGTGAGTGAACATGCCTCTGCCTGGTTTTGGTATCACTATTTGAGTTTTTTATAGACACTGATTGAACAAGAGCTAACAAAATCAAACTGTATCACTGTGGTTGTTATTTTGTTTGACAGTTGAGCCTGAGAATTAGTAGAATAAGTAGTATTAATATTAATTGTTAACAATATAAAAAAATTATAATGTCGCTCAAAATAAATAATTAATACCAAATAATTAAGGAAAAGCAAAGAGTAGCAGTAGCATACCTGCAAATAAATTCAATTCTTAATTTGCCTTGTGGATTATTCAGTATTTAGGTCAAATAAAATTAGCTGGAATAAACTAAACTATATGCAGTAACTATATTTTTGAATATTATGTCTGGAAATCATTTTTTGCAAAGATTTTAAAACCTAATCAAGAGCTTGAACAAGTCTGATAGATTCAGAGAAGTTTTGTATTTCTTTTTCAGGACAAAGTCAGAATCAACAACAGACCCTGTCAGAGGTAGAAACCATATGGAATGCGCTTCCACACACACACACACACACACACACACACACACACACACACACACACACACACACACACACACAAACACACACAAATACACAGAACCAAAGCTTGGGATCAGTAAGATTGTTTAATGTTTTAAAATCAGCTTATTTTGCTCACAAAGGCTGTATTTATTGAATTAAAAATATAAAACTGAAATGTTAGTGCATTATAAAGAAATTATTATAACAACAGCAGCAACAGTAATAATAATAAAATGCACCTAAAAATATTTTATTCATATACTCATTGCTTGAATTGAGGGGGATACGGGTATTTATGGTAATTTATGACTTATAAACAACAATAATTGACCAATCAGAGCTCAGTATTGTAATAAAGTGCCACGCACAAGCTCAATACAGTCATTGTGTCATTTCGAGCGATATTCAAAATCTACGAGAGCAGTTCAGATGCAACTTTTGCATTGTTTCAAAAGAAGAGAACAGATGGGATTATATTTATTGTTTACTATTATTTATGAATGCTGAACCTGCCATGCATAACTGCATTTCAGAAGAGTTTAGGCGACTTGACGCAAGTGTAACTTTAACAGGGCTTGCTAACATTTGCTTTAGGGACTCAAGTTTCGCCATTAATATCTAAGTTACAGCAGATTCTAGCTTCCCTGTTTCTAAAATTAACTGTTATTTTTATCCCTAATATCAGAATGCAAATGATTTGATGCATTTTTAGAATCACTGCTGTCCAAATCTTTTTCCATACCATGTTTTGTTTATAAATGAATCTTAAGCTTTGATATGAGACAATAGGCCCTTACACACATACAGACCTTTCTGGAAAATTAATAAGACTAAACCCAACTACTGGCGGTTTTAGTTTCAAATCTCATGACATTTTATAAATAAACAGTAAATGTATCATATTTATCTATCTTTTTGCCATCTTTGTTGTGTCAAGTGGAATTTTGTTGATTTAATCTGATTGAAAGATGTTATTCCTGATATCATTTCAGTTTATATAAAAAAAGCTCATGTAAGTAGGCCACATAAGGTAAACAAAGTGTAAATAAAAACATAAATTCACATTTTTGAATGGTTGTCAAAGACCTAAATCATCAATTAATAACTGTCCCTTTTAAATCCATTAATTAACTAACAATCACATGCTTAAGACTGTTAATGGTTGGTGGTTAACTAAAAAAGCATTTTCTCAAATTAAAAATGTATTTAGACCTGTTTTGTTATCATTGTGTGTAGCTGTAGGGCACCACCCACCACCTTGTTTTATTTTGGCTTGAATAAAGGCAGTTTTTCATTAAAAAAAAAAAAAAAGGTTAATATTATTAGCCCCCTTCAGCTATATTTGTTTTCGAATGTCTACAGAGCAAACCATCGTTGTGCAATGACTTGCCTAATTCCCTAACTTTCTTAATTAACCCAGTTAAGCCTTTAAATGTCACTTTTAGCTGAATACTAGTATGCTGAAATAATATGTAGTAAAATATTACGTACTGTCATCATGGCAAAGATAAAAGAAATCATTTATTAGAATTGAGTTATTAAAACTATTATGTTTAGAAACGTGTTGGAAAAATCCTCTCTGTTAAACAGAAATTGAGGGAAAAATATACAGGGGGCTATTAATTCAAGAGGGCTAATAATACTGACTTAGACTATATATCAATATTTATATTATACAACTATATAATTTAATAGTGCTGTCAGTCAATTAATGTTTTCATATTTACCTTATATGAATAACTTTAAGATTATTGTTTTTATTTCCACAGGGTCCCTAAATGAAGTTTCCTAAAGGAGGAATAATCATCAAATGTGGAACTCAGGGATGATGAACTTTAGGTTTACTTAGAGGAGGTCAGAGGGGCGTCTGTATTTTCATATACATTCATGTCTATGGTTACAGAAATACCTTGAGGGCATGCAGTTCTTGACATAAAGATGGCCACACTTCTTTAAGTGAAGACATTGAACAGCTGAAGCACAGCTCTCTCTCTGCTGACTATAGATATTTACCCCCAGGCCCTGTGAGCTGAGGAGGATACGGGAATTGGTGCTGAGCAAAGGTGCTGTGGCTTGTGGAAACATGAACTTAAAATGTTGCTGCTGGCAGTGCCAGTAAATGGTTTGATATACAACACTTTGACAACCTGTCCTACTTCCCTATATGCACAAATTGTAGTGACTGTTTAAATTCAAATTCAAATGTTTGGGATAGAAAGTCAGAGAGCAATCAAAACTTGGTAAATTTTGTCATTTGTAAATTGTACAGGTGGTCTATTTAGGCCACAGGCTTGATTTATTCCAGAGGAAGAGATATTAATTTCATTACCTATACCCAAAAATTGTATACAAAATAATTGTAAAAAGTTTCTAATAAAAATCAGTTGTATTCATACACGTCAAAGTATTTGTTTATGACTAAATACAATCAGTCATCAAAATCACAACTAAAAATATGGAAACATGAGCCCAACAACACTTGTTGAAAAGTAGGACAGTGGAATTTGACAAGATGAATGCCATCTTCTTTTACCATGAGTGTGCAGACCGGGCAGCAGATGTTAACAGAAGCGTGGCACTCTGAGTATTAGGTTTAATGTTCTCAAGTACGATTCAAAATTTAATCTCTAAAACAACAATCTCCCCTGTTTCAAACAAAGGCAAGAATCTTAAATAAGACTACATTTTGACATTCTCCTTCACTGAAACACCATAACAACATAGTGTTCTCGTGTCGGTTATTTTAGCTGCATGAAATGTAACAGTATTATTATTAGTTTGATCCATTATATAACATGTACAAACAGCACCATCCCTTAAGTCTCAAGATACAAATGCACATATTCACCTGCTGCATGCATTCAAAGTCAGGGAAAGTTAAAGGTAATAACATATGGCGAATAACAACAAATTTTCTTCATTGAAATAAGTAGCACTGTGTAAATCATACTGTACTGCTAAAAGAAATCACAATATTTCTGAGATGTTCTGCATTGTCCAAAAAGCCTTGGTCGACATTGTCCTTTAAACATTTTACATATAGGTCACCAACATGTTAACAACATTTCGTATTTTTCATTTATTTATGGTTTTCTTTTGTTCAGAATATACACAGATTTATTCACAACCAAGGTGGTCCCTACAAGTTTCTGCACTTTTACACCACAAAAATAAATAAAATAAATAAATAAATGGCAAGGTCCTATCAGGTCCTATCTAAACTAAATTAAATGTAACTTTGTTATTAAGGCGTAAGAAAGAAAGCTACGGTCCTAACAAATGGCTTTGAATACCTAGCTAAATGTTACTATGTTGTTAAGGCTTAATTGTGAAAGAAAGAGAACAACCTAGGCTTACTTACTCTCCTCCAGTTACCTAAGTGCAAAATGGGTTTTAGGCAATGCAAGTCTCAGTGTCTGCATGGCTCTGCATGTGTTCTTTGAGAAGGAATTCCTGGTGGAAAGATTTACTGCACTGTCCACATACGAAGATCATGCCTTCAGTATGCTTCTTCTGATGCTTCTTGAGTGCTGTGATGTGGCTGAATGACAGATCACAGTCCTGGCACGGATAGGACTGCTCTGCTTTATGAATACGCTGATGCCGCACCAGTCGGGATGCCATGGCGAATGCCACTCCACATTCTGAGCACTTGTGTGGTCGGACTCCACTGTGGACTGTGAGATGCTCTGCGAGGTTGGAGGACTTGGTGAAAGATTTGGAGCAAACAGTGCAGGTGTAGGGACGTACGCCGCTGTGAATCTTCCTGTGCTCTGTCATACGACTGGCTAATGCAAACGCCTTCCCGCAGTCTGGACAGATGAACGGCCTCTCGCCCAAATGTGTGCGCTCATGACGGTGAAGGGACAATGGTTTGTTAAAAGTTTTCCCACAGTGCTTGCAGAGAAACGGCTTGTTGTTGGTGTGCATGTTGCGCTCGTGTTTTCGCAAGTCAGAAGATCTCACAAAGTCCTTGCCGCATTCCTCACAGATATACGGTTTCTCTCCGGTGTGCGTTCGGATGTGTTTGCGGAAATCAGAAGACCAAATGTAGCTTTTTTCACAAAAAGGGCACTGGTACGGCCTTTCGCCCGTGTGCAGCCGCTTGTGCTGTTGAAGAGTCCCCTGGTGCGAGTAAGCTTTCCCACACAGGTCACAAACATGCGGTTTGAGTCCTCGGTGTGTATCGATGTGGCTGAGCAGGTTGCTGGACTTTTTGAAAGCCCAGTTGCAGTAGGTGCACTTGTATGGCCGATTTTCGGTGTCTCCCTCCATCCCTCGTTTCTTCATGGTGGCGAACATTAATTGACTTTTTAAAAGCTGATTCTCTGGAGATTTGGGTGTGTCATCTGTGTTTCCCTCTACATCGCATTCATCCTCCTCAGCCTCAGTCTCTGGCTGAATTCCTGCCAGGCCACATGCTTTAGTGATGTCTACCTCCTCTTTTACCTTCACATGGGGGATGCTGGTTGGTTCTGAGTCCTTGTGGTTCAGTTGGGAACTGGGGTCAGATCCAGACCCAGTCTCTATTTCTTTTTCATCCAGTTCTCTGTCTGTTCCACAGCATTGTTCAGAATATTTTGCAGGAATATAGAATTGAGTGCTTGAAATTTGAGATCCCAACTCTTGTACTGTTATCTCTTCTACACAACTAGTTGAAGCATTAATGTTCTTCTCAATAGGTAGAACCGGATTTATTTTATTGTTGGGGTCAGAAATCTTGTTCTCCGCAGGCAGATAATGCCTCTTCCTGATAAGAATCTTCCTAATACTTCGTTTTGATATGTACGCATTGTCTGTAAAAGCTTCTGTATTCCACAGGTTATTCATTTTGGCCATGTTTGATGATTGCAGATTAGTGCATTGATCTTAATTATCAGATGTCTGTGGATTTTTTTTTTTTTTTTTTGCAATGCCTGGAAAAAGAGAGAAACTAGCTTAGTTGACAGCTTTATATACAAAATCTAAACAACACAAACTTGATCTCAATTTTAGAAAACAAGATAAATGTATAGACATAATTTAAACATCAGACTTCAACATGTAATCATTTAAAATATACAAAAGATAATATAATATAACATAACATAATAAAGCTACTATTCTCTACAGATACAACCAATTCTAAGAAGCTCTTGTCTGCCTTACATTAAGCTGCTTAGCTATAAAGATGTCCAACATAAATTATGCCATGGGAGACCGTCCAGTAGACCTTGTTGATTTTAACCACTGGCTCTTGAGCCAGCAAAGAACAAGACTTTATTCTTAGCCGTCAGATCACACAGAGTGTGCACCCAAAAAATGTTGAACCATCTCATATATGTAAACAGTCTCTTACCTTGGCAGCACCAAGAACACCAATGATGATTTCAAAGACTGCAATTAATCCACTTCCTTTTCATGGTGGATTTTACACAGACGTTTAAGATACCATAGGAGGAGCCAGAAGGCAGTTATACTTACGTCCCACTGGGGGTGTGTGACAGTCTCCTTGCAGTGGTCAGCGGTTTAGCAAAACCATTTGCTGCTAGGAAAGATCCACTGATTGACCCCTTCACCCATTCCAGGCATAAGACACATGGGCTATTTTCCCGGGGGACGCCTCACATACATACTTGGGTGCAATAACACCCCACCAGGATCATGTTCACACAGTGTAATACAGTGTATTGATTTATCTTTTTGCTATTATGCTAGTTTAATGGGCTGTTGCAATCATTACATATTTCATCAACCTATATTTTACAAGTACAAGAGTAGGTCTCATAGCAGTGTCGATACATTTTCACTTCAGCGTGTGAAAACCATTTTTTCTCATCATCAAAAGACTTCTGCTGTTTTTAACTGACCAAAGAGATGTGTTCGTCTTTTACATGCTTTAGTTAATTTAATTAGCGTCTAAATATGTCTACTAATTCACTTATTGAGTGAGAGAATTAGGAACAGGAATAACCTGCTGATACCAGACATAACTTACAACCTGATCCCTGTCGCATATAGATACAAAAAAGTGTCAGAGGAAATACGAGAGGAAGAGAACATGCTGTAGATCAGCTAGAAGACACCTGTTTGCTTCTGAAGGTTCACTCTGACACTGAGGCCTGCTGTTTTATTGAACAACACTAGGTGGAGTTTTCTTTTGGATCAAATTTAAAGAAAGGGTGTCAGCCATATTGATAGCATTTGTGTGTGTGCATGTGTGTGTATTGTAGGCAGTATTGGAAAGAGTACTAAAAAAATGTAAGTGTAAGTGGAGTAAAAGTATCTGTTGTAAATATTAATCCAAGTATGAGTAGGAAGTAGCCCTTATAAAAGAAAACAATAGTGAGTATTACACTGTAAAAAAGTTGATGCATTTCCATGCAGTTTGTGCAGGGATGTGTAAACGTAACATTCTGTAGCGCATTCACTGATCTTCCTATATTCGCTCTTTCCTTCCAACCTTCCTTCCATTGTTTGTTTGTTCTGTCCTTTCTTCATTCATTAATTAGTTTTTTTGTTCCTTGCTTCATTTGTTCCTTCATTCATTCCTCCCTGCGTTCGTTTTTCTGTTCGTTCATTCTTTCTTTCATTCTGTCCTTTGTTCAGCACTTTCTCGAATCCCTCCATTCATTTGCTCCTTCCTTCATTAGTTCAGCCCTTCCTTCATCCTTTCTTCATTCGTTTATTCCTTCCCTCCTTCCGTACTTACGTACTAAGTTTGTTCAGTCCTTCCTTGAATCCCTCCTTCATTCATTTGTTCCTTCCTTCCTTCATTTCTCCCTTCCTTCGTTCCTCCATTCCTGCATTCGTTTCTCTGTTCATTCCTCCATTTGTTCCACAGTTTGTTCCTTCCTTCCTTCTTTCCCTCTACCTTACTTTGTTTACTCTTTCCTCAAATCCCTCCTTCATTCATTTGGTCCTTCCTTCCTTCATTAGTTCGGTCCTTCCTTTGTTCTTTTCTTCGTTCGTTCATTCTCTCCTTCCTTCATTACTTAGTTTGTTCAGTCCTTCCTTGAATCCCTCCTTCATTCTTTGGGTCCTTCCTTCCTTCATTAGTTCGGCCCTTCCTTAATTTCTTCCTTCCTTCATTCCTCTCTTCCTTCATTCCTACCTTCCTGCATTCATTCCTCTGATCATTTCTCAGTTCGTTCCCCCGTTCTTTCCTCCGTTTATTCGTTCGTTCCTTCCTTCCTTCTTTCTTTCCTTCCTTCCATCCTCACTTTGTTCAGTCCTTCCTCGAATCCCTCCTTCATTTATTTGGTCCTTTCTTCTTTCATTAGTTTGGCCCTTTCTTCGTTCCTTCCTTTGTTCCTCCCTTCCTTCATTTCTCCCTTCCTTTATTCGTTCTTTCGTTCATTTGATTCTTCCTTTCCTTAGTTACTTTATTTAGTCCTACCTTGAATCCCTCTTTCATTCATTTGGTCCTTCCTTCCTTTGTTCCTCCCTTCCTTTATTCCTTCCTCCGTTTGTTTGTTTGTTTGTTCGTTCCTTCTTTCCTTCCTTCCTTTTTTCAGTCCTTCCTTGAATCCTTCCTTCAATCATTTAGTCCTCCTTCCTTCCTTCATTAGTTCAGCCCTTCCTTCATTCCTTTCTTCCTTCATTTCTCCATTCCTTCACCTGTTGTTTATTCATTCTTTCCTTCCTTTCTTGCTTAGTTTGTTGAGTCCTTCCTTGAATCCCTCCTTCATCCATTTGATCTTTCCTTCCTTCATTAGTTCTGCCCTTTCTTTGTTCAGTCCTTCCTTCCATTCCTTGTTCGGTCCTCATTTCATTCGACCCTTCCTTCCAGTCTTCATTCGTTCCATCTACTGATTGATTAAGGCTGTTTGGTGATTTCAGTCATCATACAGTCGACAACCTTCATTTTCTTATCAGTCACATGCAGTCTATAAAAAAGTTTCTGGGTCAATGCGTGTAAAGATTTTGAACATCATCTTGGAACAAAAGGTTTGCTGCATTTATAAAGCACCAGGTTGTTCAGTATGATGCAGTTTACTTTATATGTGCGATTTGATTGGAAAGGAATCACAGGACTGATTTGTGACTAATCACCATTTAAAGAAATAAAGTAGTGACTGCAGGTTGAAGAAAAATTGTGGAATAAAGTACCGATACTGCATTAAAAATATACTCAAGGGAAAGGAAAAGTACACATTTTTAAAACTACTTTGTAAATTACAATTTCTTAGATAAACTACTTAATTACAGTAATTTGAGTATTTGTGATTTGTTTTGTGAAGTATTGTAATATTAGTCATTTTTATCGTTGTATGAACATTTTTGATCCCCATGATGAAAACAGCTCATAAATAATATAGAATGAAAATGTCGAAAATGTAAAATTATTTCTGTGAGAATTGGATTTAGGGGTAGGTTTGAAGTAAGATGACAGAATACACTGTCTATATTGTACAAAAATCATGACATCTATGAGAAGTCCCCAGAAGTCCCCATAAAACTTGAAAAGGCGAGTACTACTAAATTGTTTTACTAGTTGGTCAAGTTAATGAGAATCTTTACATTTATTCATCATAAGATTGTTTGATTTTATATACTAAGGTATGTTAAAGTGTATTTACTTCATTAATTTCACAGGGACGGTTTGGATTGATATTGTGTTAATTTCTAATTCATAACTGAATCTTATATAAACCATTTTGAGGGATGTAAACAAAAACAGTGGTCCCAACGTATTTCCTGTTTTACATTTTTTTATTTCCATAGCTTCTGAGATTCCAAAAAGTGCCACATATTGATAAATAATGTTATGATAGCTGTTTTAACTTAAGTAATGATTGAATTGCCTCATGTTACAGTTATGAAATAGCCTGATAACAACCAGGAAAAGTTTATGGGACAATGACATTACACATTGAAGTGGTATATAAGCTAGCAAATATCCCGAATAAAAGGATTTACTGCAATGTATGCAAAACTGCCCAGCACATTAATATTGGCCAGACAGTAACTGATCTTACAATGACATAAAACACTTTTAAATGCACTTGTTGCACAGTCGTTATCGCATTAATATAATTCTTGAACTACTTGCTTACTTGCTTTTTCAGCAGCCCATTAAAATCCTGAGGCCTCAACAACAGCTGCAATGTTGTCACCCATGCTGAGTCGAGCGGATGTGCAAGGTTGAAATAGTTGTTCTTTATCAGCAAGAGAAGACGACTGATCGAAAATATATTTGCAGATCCACAACCCCCATAAAATTAATAAATAAAATTAACAATTAGAGCAAGAGCAATTTCGCCTTTTTTTGCATTTGACTCTCATTAAAGGCACATTAAAATGTCATTCTGTTTTAAATTGTAGAAATAGCAATATGCCAGGCTTGCACATTTTCATTACATAATTTTGTGTCTGTTATTATTTTATACTTAATGAAAATATCATGTTTTTAAAAAAGTGTTGATAGTGAAACCACACATTTCAGAGCTTTTATGAGTTTAGCATATGTTTAAAGTCCTGAAGGGCTCAAAGAGCTGTAGAAATGTCACTTGCAAGCAGGGAAACAAACCAAAAATAAATAAATAAACAAATAAAATGACCAAGGTGGATCAGATGACCTTTCACACAACTTTAAAAGAAAACCTGTGTTCACATGACATTTAGAAAGACACTTGGAAAGGAGCTTAGTGCTAAATGAACAGACATTTTGTAGACTTATGATCCCCCTGTCTCATATTTCTCTAGCTGCGTCCTAAATCACATACTTATGCACTATTCTATGCCATTTTGTAGTATAAATAGTATTAGTAGTGTTCACACTGAAAACTCTAAAAAGAATAAGTGTACTTTACTTACCCGGATGATGCACTCATTCAGCCGCTAAAATGACGCCACTACATACATATACTATTCTGTTGAGTGTGTAAGTGCATAAGTACATTGTGCATGAGTGCATAGTGTATAGTGTGCCATTTGGGACACAGCTTCTGTCATGTGTCTGGACTTTTATTTTGAAATGCATTTTGTGCCTCCTTTGTTCTCTGTTTCTGTTTTTCATGTTCTTTTTGCTAACATCTTTGTTTCCATAATAATCTCTGTTAATTTCCATAGCCACACTTTTGACCACCATTTCCCTCCTTAGTCATAATAGCAGCTTTGTCTGGTGTTTTTATAGGGATAGTTCAACCTAAAAAAAAATTTTTATTCTGTTAATAATTTTTTTCTGATGTGTTATCAAATCCTTTAGACCTTCGTTTGTTTTCAGCATACAAATTAAGACACCGTGGCTTAGTGGCACTGTCGCCTTACAGCACGAAGGTCACTGGTTTGAGTCCAGGCTGGTGATTTTGCTGACATTTTAAGATAATAAGGCTGAACAGCACGAAATGCCATCAGTCTAGAGACATTTCTTAGAACTTTTCTGCTGCAATTGAAATATCACAATAATCAACCCTGAAAAAGCCAAAGCAGCACAAACACTACCAGATAACTGTGTTTGCGATAAGAACTGGGAAAAACACTAAACACGTGTGCCTTTCTTCTTTCGTTTTGCATTAGGGTGACATGGTGGCACAGTGGGTAGCACAATTGCCTCACAGCAAGAGGGTCGCTGGTTCGAGCTTCGGCTGGG